TGTGTGTGTGTGTGTATGTGTGTGTGTGTGCGCTCGTGCGCGCGCGTGTGTGTGTGCGTGTGTGTGTGTGTGTGTGCGTGTGTGTGTGCGTGTGTGTGTGTATGTGTGTGTGTCCTTCTTTTCTGTGCATATTATTACTCTCAAGTAACACCTCTAATCTTCGGCAACTATGTAGCCAATCTGTGTTGAAAGTGTTGTAAAACTCTTTCTAAAACTATTATATTACCTATTTATGTTCAAAGTGCCGTTAAATTCTTACAAAGACTATTATACTGCCTGTTCGTGTTGCAAGAGCTGTAAACTTCTTACTTTAGTTCGTCTAATTCAAAAAGGTCATAATTTTTTGTGAAAAACTTTCATATTCCATTTACGTTTAGCTTTTAGATTTATAAATATGGCAATCCTCATAATTTGTCTTTTCGAGCAATATTTCTTTCAGCGGAATAGGTTGATAGAAAAGGGCACTTCTTCCTAGCACGGGTGGCTCTTTTTTGAGAGTCCGTCTGAGGCTAAAAATAAACCTATTTACTGTACAGTTCTGGAACATATTATCTCGTTATAGTTTTTAATCTACTTTCTACTCACAAAAAACCCAAAAACTTAAACATGCTTTTTGGACACAACATTATGAAGATTGAGAATTTTGAAACAGAAAAATGGCGCACAAGCAGAGAGCCTTAGAAAGAGAAGTGGAAAAAATCAGCTTCCTCTTTTACCTTTAGAATAGAAAAAATTAAATATGGCGACATGATACGAGTCACACAGAAGTAAGCAATCCCCCTTTTTTTTTACTCAATAAACCATTAATTAACAAAGACAAAGAGGAAAAATCGCTTGTTAATACTCTGGCTTAGACCATTTACTCGTATATAATTACGATAAATTGATGCAAAATTACTGGTATAAGTTTGATAAAAATCGGCGCAGGCAGTCAAAAGTTACCTGCCCAAAAAAGCATAATGTTTTTGAGCTGGACGAGCTATAAAACCATTGTATTATGACCTAATCATGTTGTAAGTGCTGTAAGACTTTTATTAAACCATTACATATGACAAACTATTATAGCAAAGACCTATGCGTGTTTTACTGCTGTTAAACTCTTACTAAAATGGGTTTTTTTTTTTTTACAAACTATTATAGTAATGACCTATGTGTGTTGTAAGTGCTGTAAAACTCTTATTAAACCATTACGTATGACAAACTATTATAGTAAAGACCTATGTGTGTTGTAAGTGCTGTAAAACTCTTATTAAACCGTTACATATGACAAACTATTATAGTAAAGACCTATGCGTGTTTTACTGCTGCTAAACTCTTACTAAACCGTTACATATGACAAACTATTATAGTAATGACCTATGTGTGTTTAAGTACTGTAAAACTCTAACCAAACTGTTATAATAAATTATAACAAACTATTATAGCCATGACCTATTCTTGTTGTAAGTGCTGTAAAACTCTTACTAAAAAGTTTTTGTATTTTTACGAACTATTATAGTAAAGACCTATGTGTGTTTAAGTGCTGTAAAATTCTTACTAAACCGTTACATATGACAAACTGTTATAATAATGACCTATGTGTTTTTAAGTGATGTAAAACTCTTACTAAACTGTTACATACGACAAAGTATTGTAGTAATGACCTATGTGTGTTTAAGTACTGTAAAACTGTTACTAAAGTGTTATATAAATATATGACAAACTGCTATAGTAATGAACTGTGTGTGTTGTAAGTGCTGTAAAACTCTAGCAAAACAATCACATCCCCCACACAGTGCCCGTGCTGAAAACGGGCCGTCAACTGAAACTGTCCCGGTCTCCGAACTTTGACCTTTCCCCTCGGCCAGCCGCGGAACCTCAAGGCCTGGTCCGCTCCAAGACGACCATAGACGGCTCTGAGCTCATCGGAACCAGGGACGTAAGTACTGGGCCTCAAAGTAAAGTTTAGACCCCTCCCGTCCCCCCTCACCCCAAGACAAACATAGACGGCTCTTAGCTCATCGGCACCACGGACGTAAGTACTGGGCCTCAAAGTAAAGTT